ATCCATGTTTGCTTTCCACTGCCTTTGTTGTTGTTGTTGTGACATTGCTTTGTTTTTTGGAAACATATTGCTGTGTGCACAAGATACTAACACAATGAAGTCCCATTTGTAAAAAACATGACTCTGTACATGATTAAAAAGAAAAGCAAAATCCACAGCATACAGTTAAAAATGGACCACATTTCCCTTCAATTGGCTGCAGATCTTCATTTAAAAGCACTAAACTCTAACATTAGAGTCATGTTCCCCATTTTCGGTGATTATCAGCCCTCTGTTTTACACACATTATCAAGATATTTAAGCAACATAGGATCCACATAGGTTCAATCCTTTGAAAGTGGTAACACCTTCACAAAAATGGATGTAAGCAAATAGTCAGTCAGTAACATGCAATTAAATGTGCCAAAGACTGGGAGAGCATTCTGATGGAAGCTCTGTATTTGAATTAAATGATGTTGACATGTTATTTGGCCCCAAAGGGGGGAAGGGGGGGTGTCAGGCCATGTCATCATAAATCTTCCCAGCCCCACAATAAGCAACACCATTTTCCAGACCTAACCTACCTTAACACAAAGCATCCCTGAACTCTATCCTCACCCAAGCAAAGAGCAGATATGTGGCTTGACACACAGCATGTGCATTGTATTTTCTCAGGTTAAGCAGTGGCTGGTCTAGCTGACTTTAATTGGCTCTGAGAGCTGGATCCGCTCAGCTGAATAACCACTGACACTGTTCTACCAAGACTGTCTAACAGAAGAAGACTAGTAACAATTGCAGTGAGTCTGTATCTATATTATCACCAACACCAATACAAGTTCGGAGTGAAGGCAAGTCTACAGGGTCATCGGGTGGGCACCCTCTCATTAAATGGTGTTTTGTTGAGTTTGGCCCACAGCACCAAGAAGGCTCAACGACGCTGGCTCACATATATGTCCAATAATGACTTGCATAATGTATCACTTCTCAGTGTTCTTTTTTCCTCCGCCTTTTCTTCTCCCCTTCCTTCCTGCAGTGGCTTTCTAATGACTGTTCGGTAATAGAAATGTTCATCTGAAAATATAAAACTATAACCATCAGCTTGTTGTGGAAGAAGTACTCAGATTACCTTTACTTACTTAAAAGTAGCAATACCACAAAGTAAGAATACTCTGGGTTACTCTGGCAGTAAAATCCCTGCATACAAATATTATTTAAGTAAAAGTGCAAAAGAATTTGTATCAAAACATACTTAAAGTGCCAAAAGCAAAAGTACTTATTATGCAGAATGGCATATTGCACATTAATGTATATCATATTATTGGGTTATAATTATTGAATTATAATTACCATATGCGCTTATAATTTGAATGACTTCACTTATTGCTGGGTAGCTTATGAATGTCCTACTAGGAATCAATAGTCTTATAATTATAGTGTATGCTGTATAATTAATTTAATTCTGAAAAGTGACCAGTAAATAAGGTTATCAAATAAATGCAATAAAAATAAGTACAATATTTACCTCTGAAATGCAGTGAAGTTGAAGTATGAAGTAGTAGAAAATGAAAATAGTCAAGTAAGTACAGATATCTCAAAATTGTACTTAATTGTATTTACTGTATACATTTTATCAGTAGCTGATTAGCGTAGCTTAGCATACAGACTGACTTTGACCAAAGGTAGCATGCACATATAAAGCTCATTAATTAACATGTTACACATTGAAAGCATAAAAATGACAAGTATTCTGATCCTGTACTTAGGTTACAGTAAAAATGTCATCAAGTACAAATACTTTGTTAGAAGAAAAAGTCCTCCGTTAAAAATGTTGAGTAAAAGTACAGAAGACAAACATGAATGAATATGAATATGACAAAAATGAATTTTAAGTCTGAAAAGTTAAACGATTCCTCATCCAGGAATGACCACTTTCAGAGTGAAGATATTTTACATCAAAGGGTTTGTTATTACTGCAGCACTAATATATAAACCAGACATAAGAAGGGATATTTTAACTAATACTTCTTGTCTTGACCCTTTATTAGAACATGAAGAGGTTTACTGAGATGCTGTAGGTAACAACTGGTTTACATATTGTTATTCCTATCCCCCTAAATAAATAATTCAGTATAAATCAAACCAAGTGCACCTACCTACTGGGTCTGTAGCTGCTCTTTCCCATCTTAGACTGCCTATTTAAAAGGGATACACAATTAGCTGCTGGATGGGAAATGTTTTGGCACCTTCAAATGGATCTGTAGTATGAACCACAGTCAGTGGACATTTGTGTGTACGTATGTGTATGGGTGAACAGGGGAATGGTTGAGTGCCCTTTACTTTGACAGGTTACAGGTAGAGGCTCTGTTTCTGTCTGTAGCTCTATTACTGAACGGTCATTAGAAAGCCACTGCAGGAAGGAAGGAGAGAAGAAAAGGAGGAGGAAAAGAGAAAACTGAGAAATACAAGTCATTATCTAACATAATTTATATGCTTTTACTGTGTTTTTGTGTTAATGTCCAGAGCAAATATGTCATTAGATAAGATAAAATAAGATAAGATAATCCTTTATTGTCATTGTAACACATACAACAATTTTTAGAGTGACCTCCAGTCGGTAGAGACCATATATAAAACTTAACTGCTAGAAAAATGAAATAAACAACAGACTTCTCACCGGACGTCTACCTGACGGCAGCAGTTCAAAGAGTGAACATCCTGAATGTGAAGAATCCTTAATGATGTTCTGGGCTTTTTTGAGGCAGCGGGAACTGTGTAGTTCTTCCAAAGTGAGGAGAGGGCAGCCGACAATCTCCTGGGCCGTATTAATGACCCTCTGGAGCATTTTCCTCTGAGCCACCTTGCTGCTGCTGCTGTACCATACACATATACAGTATGTAAGGATGCTCTCAATGGAGCACCGATAGAAGGACACCAGCAGTCTCTGGGAGATGTTGTTCTTTCTGACCACACGTAGGAAGTACAGTCTCCGCTGGGCCTTTTTAAGCAGTTTAGAGGCATTCACACCCCAGGTCAGGTCCCTCTTAATATGCACTCCCAGAAGCGGAAGGCCGACACCCTCTCCACATGGTCCCCGCTGATATACAGTGGCATTGGGTTATGCAAGGTGGGCCAACAGAAGGATCAAATATGCAAAGGAGAAAACAGACTAAGTATAATGTGAAATTTTTGTCAAGAGCAAAACACCAACATCAACAATACTCAGTATAGAAAAACACATTTATTTTGTGAGTCATTGTTATTTTCTTTATAATGTGATATCAACATAGGCCATAGGACTGTGTGTGATGACAGTGTTAAAAGCTAGCCTGTGCCATTTTAATATAGTTAAACAGAACCATCACCCAGCTTTAATGAAAATGTGTTCTAACACAGCTTATTGCTGAGGAAAATTGCTCTATGAGCACAAAATGCATTTAAAAGTGTATTAGCTTCAAGCTTTTAAATATCCCCTCCTGTAATGCATATTAGATGTACCTTATATTTCCATTTTCACAGAATGTGGAAAACTGAATGTACCTGCAATTACATTTCTGCTTGTTTAGAATTCATAGTATTAAAGGTTTTTGTGGTTTCAAAAGAGCCTTGTCATGTCTCATACTTATACTACATTTACCCTCATGGCCCAGGGAATCTGCAGTCACATCAGATGCCAGAGTTTACTTTAAATGTCCCATATCAATTAAAAACTCCCAGGACGGAATCTACTGTTCAAATGTTAATCAATTTAACTGGTGCAATTTTACACAGAAAGTTCTGTTTTTCATAACAGGAATTTTCTTTCTTTTTTAAATCTTTGGAGGAGTAACATTAACTTCAGCTCACTGAGTTGTACACACAGGGAAGCCCTGAATGCCACTCATCAAACATTTTCTATTTTTCTCTCCACATGCCTGCTGCTGCAGCACCCACCAGTTTAACTAGAGTCAAACAAGCTCAGGATATCAAGTCTAATGAGCACCTGTCTCAAGAATAACAGACCGTGGAATATTAATGGAACCTTGAATATTTGTACTGCACAATCTTCAGTGCATGAAATTTGTCTACACCACTGAGTCTCAAATTAATGTCAAAGCACTGGCAATATTTTAAAATGTAATCTTTTGAGGCTGGTTGTGGTGATGTTTTGCTTTATAAATTACCTTTAGTTTCCGGACACATTTAGACAATCCTGGCTGATGGCTACGGTGGGACTGATTTACACTGATCAAGCGCCCTCATGGTTCATACCCCCACCTCCCACCAGCTGACATGTCACAGTTGAGTTACTTCAAAAATTTATTGGGTTAGGTCAACCTTGTCTAATGACAGTTGCTGGGCTGTGGAGGTATGTAATCAGCTTCTGGGAAGCTTCATGGTATGAAAGTATAGCAACGAGAAAATATTAAATGCTGCATGAGATGTGTGTGGGTGGTGAGTGTTATAACTGGCTTAAAGCAGTGCAACAAACAAGAACTCACTTGTTGACAATTGATTGTTTGCTTATTTCCCATTTGGCATCAAAATCTCTATCATTAACATTCATGATCACAAGGTCAGGGTTGCAGACCTTGGACTTGACACTCCATACTTGAGAATTCAGACCGGACAGAAAAAGTTTTAACCACTTAAATTTTTAAAACAGCACAAAGACAATCTATAGAGCTTACTAATACCCTAAGATTGCCTGCTGACGTAGTACAGACCACGATCAACAGTTGCTATATCTTTTACACAGGCTACAGGGCAGAAATACAGAGCAAACACAAAATCAAGTATAAGTAACCAACAAAAACATTAAACTAGTCTCCATTTAATATCAACTAAATTTATGGTTACGTCTCCGCTGTAGTGTTTTTATACTACTTCCGCATAGGCCATGTGTAGCGCTCTCAAATATGACGTCACCGGTCGTCTTCTAGGCGATTGGTCAGTGACACTACGAGTACGGCCCTTCTCGTCTTTCATTGGGTGCTTTATTAAATTTCCTACCTGTGATTGGCTAAGAACGTCGCACTGCCATTGGTTGATTTCACGCACTGACAATTTGAAAATCGGTAGTTTCGCGTTCAGAAATTAAGGGGCAGCTGAGAGAAAGGGGATACAGAAGTCGGGATATAATTTCTTAAGAGACAGAGGTAAGAGTTGAGGATAACTACATTTACAAAGCATTTCCATCTCGAAGTCAAATTGTTATTGAATTGTTATGCTGAATGGAGTTGCATAACGTTACTTTGTTTTAGTTCACTGTTAAAATATTGTTTCCTACTGCATGCACTGTCTCATTGTGTTGAATCACTAATGTCCTCTGAAACCGCCAGAGCAAGGTGCTATTCACGAATCAATTATCTGGGAGTTGCTGCAATGTTACCGGGAGAGGATGGTGCCCAGCTGCAGTGCTGTGTGACCGTGGAGCGGCTAGATACATCCGGCCAGGCCCCCCGGAGGCAGCACATCCGTAAAGCCTCTGTTATTCTGGGTCGGAACGAGTTCCAAGAGATTATGCTCCGCTTCCACGACGGAAAAGTCTCGCAAAGTTACCGCCTCAAAGAGTTTAAACTGTTCACCAAGTTCGCCAGGGATGGGAAGTGCACCATCAAACTGCTCCCTGAAAACATCCAGGTGCTCATCTCCAACTGCCCCCCTGACCAGCTGAGCCTCTTCCTCAAAACCCTGAGCATCAAACACCAGGCCTGGCAGAGCAGCAAGCCTCTGAGTGACAGAGAGAAGCTCAGAGCTGGTCTGCCCCGCAGCTTCGAGGCCATCAGCCCACTGCAGCAGAAGGACATCCAGAAGGTCAACAAGCTGAGAAGTAAAGAAGCACCCACAGGACTGTCAGATCGCACCAATAAGACCACTGTGGCAGGAGGAGGACAACAGGTGAAAAGGTCGAGGAGTGACAGTAACTTCAGCCCAGTGAGTTGGACACACACAAGAATATATTATGACTTACCTTGATGGTTCTGACAGTTTTCCTCTTTGATCAATCACATTTCCTAATCTGTATTGTCCTATATGTCAACTCCCATGTTCTTTGTCCACACTTTATTTATGCTACCTTTAAAAACAAGCTTTGTTTACTATTTCAGGTGAAGCAGAACCCCAGTAAGAAGCCCGTTCTCTCTCTGCCCTCATGTACGCTGAATAAAGAACAGGCTGCTGTCCTCAGTGCAGTGCTGAGTGGCAAGAATGTCTTCTTCACTGGAAGTGCAGGTATGTGTGTGACCAGAAATTTACATTACATTTTCACAACATGTTTTGTAATTGCTTTTATTTCCAATAGACAACCTGGACGGAATCTCGTTTCATAAGACAGCCACCGTGTTTTACCTCTGTTCTAAGCTCATCTGTTTTTGTTTTTCAGGTACAGGAAAGTCCTTCTTACTCAAGCGAATCATGGGATCTCTTCCTCCGAAGAGCACCTTTGCAACAGCCAGCACAGGAGTGGCTGCGTGTCACATTGGAGGAACAACATTACACAGCTTTGCAGGTCAGTAACTGAGCATCAGAAGACACCAAACAGAGTTTGTGTGCATCTTTTTATAAAAAGTCCATAATCAGTTGTTAGGGATGTGTAGAGGTCATATACTGTATATATTTTTTTTTTTTAATCACAAGTTTAGATGATCCAAGTAACTGATCAAACTCCTTGTTTCAAAAAAACGCCACCTTCAGTACAAAGAAACAGGGCTTTGTCTGTTACTTCTTTTGATTGTCCTTATTTTAAAGCAGAGCTGCAGCCTTTAACTCCATTACAAGGTCTATGATGGCGTATTTCAGATTATGAATCTTTAATATAATTGAAGAGGTGGTGTCGGGTGGCTTTCCAGAATAACAGATGTTTGTAATTAAATCTCAATATAAAGTAGAGGGTGTGAATTGAGTATTTGTATGAAGTGTTACTCATTTGTGTCCCCTCTGACCATCTGCTTGTGTCTTTATTATCTTTTTTTTTCTTTCTTTCTAAACATGTTTTTTACAGGTATCGGCTCCGGCTCTGCCCCGCTGGAGCAGTGTATCGAGTTGGCCCAGAGGCCCAGGGTGCTGCAGCACTGGACGAGCTGTCGACACCTCATCATTGATGAGATCTCCATGGTGGAGGCCCAGTTCTTTGATAAACTCGAGTCGGTGGCCAGGTGAGATGAGAATACCACAGTCAAGTTCAGCATCAATCTGAAGAACAGGATGTTTTGAAAATATCTTAAAAATGAAAGACTGAAATATCCCATTTACATCAGTATTCAGACCCTTCACTTAGTACTTGTTTAAAGTACCTTTGGCAACATCACCAGCCTCAATTCCTCTTGAGAATGAAGCTGCAAGCTCAGCATCTTTCTTTTGGAGTTTTCTTCCATTCTTCTTGGATGAATTGTTCAAGGTCAACCAGGTTGGATGGTTTTCAGGTCTCTCCAGAGACGCTCTATTGTGTTCAGGTCCAGACTATGGCTGGGCCACTCCAGGACTTTCACAGAGCTTTCCTGAAGACACTGCTGTGTTTTCTTGGCGGTATGCTTCGGGTTGTTGTCTTGTTAAATCTAAACCTTTGCCCCAGCCTTGAGCACTCTGGAGAAGGTTTTCATTCAGAGTTGCTTTATATTTTTCTGCATCCAAGGCCCTGATTCCCCGATTGTTCAGTTTGGCTGGGTGACCAGATCTGTGAAGACTGGTGGTGGTTTAAATCTCTTCCAGAGACAATGATGGAGGCTACCGTGCTCTTGGGCACTTTCAATGCTGCAGAAGTGTTCTTGTATCCTTCCCCAGATCTGTGTCTTTACACAGTCCTGTCTCGTGGGTCTGTGGACAGTTCTCTCGACCTCATGACTTTGTTTTACACCATCAGCTGTGAGACCTTATACAAACAGGTGTGTGCCTTTCCTGATTATATCCAGTGCATTAAATTAGGCACAAGGGGACTCTAATCAAGCTGTGGAAGCATCTCGACCATTGATAGGAGGAGGATGCACTAGAGCTCAGTTGTAAGTGTCATAACAAAGGGTTCTGTCAACGGGATATTTCAGTGTTTTTATTTTTAATAAGTTTTAAAACATTCTAAAAACCTGTTTTTATTTATTTTGCAATTAATAGAGAAGCTATGTGTCAAATTAACTGATAAAGTAATTGTTAGTTGCAGCCCTGTAAAAGTCACTGGCACGTTAATTCATATTAACCTTCAGTGATGTGCACCTTTTCGCTGCACTGTCACAGGTCAGTCAGGAGGTCATCCGAGCCGTTTGGCGGTATCCAGCTGATTGTGTGTGGCGACTTCCTCCAGCTGCCTCCTGTTTCTAAGGGAAAAGAAAAGGCCAGCTTCTGCTTCCAGGTCTGTACAGACCAGGACGTCCCTGTTTGTTAATCTCATTTTGTTAGTGATGTTGTGTGCCAACAGACCGATAGGTCATTAGGGCAATCGATTTAAGAAAAATTTGTAACAACCCAGTAAGGGGACTGCTTCAGAAATACATCCATTCAACTAGTTGGTAATGGGAATATTTTGTGCACTAGATTTATGTACCTGGAAGTAAAAGCTGAATATAAACAAGATGTTCTTTACTGGAGCAGTAAATTTGTTTTAAATGTTGTTGTTGTTTTAATATATCCTCATAAGTTTCTCCGAGTACATAAACCTTTAATGTACTGAGTTATTCAATTCAGGCTGGTCTACCTTGTTCCCATGAGTCAGCAGCTGTTCTACAGACATTTTGCTCATTTCCTGAAGAACATTAATAGATGTTAGAGCAAAACGGATCTTTTTCCATTATCGCTGTTCAGGCCAGGAGTTGGCGTAAGGTCATCCAACTCAACATGGAGCTAACGGAAGTGAGAAGGCAAACGGACAAGTTGTTCATTTCTCTCCTGCAGGCAGTGAGAGTGGGCAGGTAATATAATAGGCACTGTCCATTTCTCAAACTATGCCACTGTATTGTGATGGGAATGTTTTCTACCAAATGTACAGTCCAATGTTGTGTCCACCTAAATATTTTACAGAAATTAACATACAGCTGATAAAGGGACAGCAGTTCATTTTTTATTTTATTTTATTTTTTTGTACTGCAAAACATTTATGCTTTCCCAGAAAAATAGTCTTTCTGAAGGCGAGGTTCTCTCTCACCATTCAGGGTGACGGAGGAAGTCACCACTAAACTGATAGCGAGTGCCTACCATCGCATCGAGAGGGACGGGATCCTAGCGACCAGGCTGTGCACGCATAAAGATGACGTGGAGCTCACAAACGAGAAGAAACTCCAACAGCTGCCAGGTATGGATTCTTCCGTTCAATTATGTTTATTGGGTTTTTAGCACAACACAGGTGTTGGTTTGTTTGGCTTGGATCCACTTGAAAACTGTTGCCCACGACTTGAGTCTGGTGTTTGCTTTGTTGAAACCTGTTTCCACCTTTTGAGCCTTTGCAAACATTTGCTTTCTGACTCCTGTTGTGGTTGTATTTTATTTTGTACTTTCATTAGAAAACCGTAGGGAGTGTTTGTGACATTAGTTTCAAAGTTTTAGTCTTTTTTTGTGCACATAGGCCTACTCAACTTTTTTTTTTGTTTGTTTGTTTATGGTTTCAGACTTAAGATACCTAGGTTATTGCCTGTCCCCCATAATATTTTATACAGTGAAAGTGCTTGCCTTCACAATATGATTTTTACCCACCTTTTTTAATAAATCTGCTCCTGCCCCTCAGGCTCAGCGCGTGTGTTTGAGGCACTAGACAGTGACCCAGCCCTGGTGAAGACTATAGATGCCCACAGCCCAGTCAGCAGACTGATCCAGCTCAAAGTGGGAGCTCAGGTTTGACTGCAGAATGTTCTTGTCATCTTCCATTATCTCCATAACCTACTGAAGGTTGGCATGCAGCCCTGTTGGTCTGATACATGTCAAGTCTGAGTGAAGACATGCTTTGAAATTTTCTGTGATGTTTTATTTTTTAAGGTCATGCTGACAAAGAACCTGGACATCACTCAAGGTCTGGTGAATGGAGCACGAGGAGTTGTGGTGGCTTTTGAGTCTGGAAATACTGGTCAGTAATCAATTATTTGATTAGTAAATAAATATATTCAGTTCTGCTTAGAAATGCTGTAATTCACTGACAATCCTATAGGTTGTGATAAAGATGAACATCGAAGGTTCAGGAGCAGGACCATGCCCTTATCACACCCCTTTTCTGCCTCCTGCCTATAGATAGGCTACTTCTGCGTTCCATCTACAGAGTGCTTTTGTTTCTCATAAAACCCTCCCTATCTAGCTGATCTTTCTCTGTACTCTTCTCTTCCTTTCCTTCCTACCTAGTTCTCCTCCCTCCATATGGAAATCCACCACACCCCAGAATCACGCAGCAAAGCCATGTAGTTAAATTACTTTTAGGATAACTTTAGGTCTCGGGTAATAAACTCAACTAAATTGCTTTTTTTTTTTTTTTTTTTAATCATATTTGTTATAATTTTGTATCACATGTACATTGCTTTGCTGTAGTGCCACTTCAGTAACTGAAATAATTGGTGCCTTGCAAAGCTGTTGCTTTCAAAGTAGCTTCCTCAACTCAGCTTTTCTGCCAGTTGTCAGTTCTGTGTACATGTCTTTAACATTGTCTATCACTGTGACATCTTTCACTACTTTCTGTTGATTAAGTTTGCTCACTCCAGCTACTCATGTATGTTACTTTTAAATATGAGTATAGGCAACTGCAGCTACAAGATGGCAGAGATGGTGCATCAACAACAGTCACAGCTGTACACCATAACCTTATCCACTCCAAAGTTATGGTTAAACCTGGCCACAGAATCACAGCCATCTGTTCAACACCTGCAGTTTAGAGCTGCTTTGCCACTGCCGTCACTTGCGACAGCTTCCATTAACATAGAAAATCATCACTGGAGGACTTGCAATTGAAGAACTTGAATGTTGAATTTGCCAGACTGACAGAAGCAAAATGTAAATGACTTTAAGGGAAACACCACAGGTTCTCTTTTCACAAATAGCAGTGGTGGTTACTTCCATGTACTGACTCACTCCCTGTTTTCCCAGGACTCCCACGTGTACGTTTCCTGTGTGGCGTTACAGAGGTGCTGAAGCCAGAGCGCTGGGTGTTTAAGGCTGGTGGTGGAATCCACTTGAGTCGACAGCAGCTGCCACTCAAACTGGCCTGGGCCATCTCCATCCACAAGAGCCAGGTGAGTGCAGGTTCAGTCGTAGCCGCACGGTGTATTAGCTGCAACTCAACCCACAAATATTAGAGAGAGAAATGCTCCTACAATCCCCACAGTCTTCCTTTCTCTTCGAGGAAAACATTGTTCACTGTTGCTAAGGGAGACCAGTGTTTTGTGTGGGTTTCTCTTGAATGAATGAATGAATCACTTGACAAATGGCCTGAAACTAATTTCTTTTTCTTTTTGTACCACTTTTGATAAACACTAGCAGATGGCAAAAAATGGCTGACAGTTCTTTGGCAGTGTCTGAGCTAGCCTTGAATGCTCAGTCTTATCCACATTATTGCTTGTCAGATGAGGTTAAAGGAGACGAGAGCCAAGTCAGAACTGTATAATGGGTTCAGATTTAAAATCAAGTAGTATCCAGTATATACTGTGTAGAACCAGTATGTGGTGTGGATTCTGGCTTCAGTATTAGTCTATTTTTAAAGAGGTTCCTGTTCAGTATGCATATTGCTGTTTATGCCACTACCTACTTTATTTTTCATTGTGATGGATGGCTGGGCTTGACTCTAACTCGCTGTGCAATTTTACAGCGTGAGAGCATCTGGTTTACAGGTGAACCCACAATGTTTTTGCCTGGTATTTATCAGGCAGCACTGAGCTATAATCAGTCTTACCTTTTACATTTTAGTTCAAATTCCACACAAACAGAACCAGTTTAACTTGTATTTTGTCCCAGTTAGAGATGAAAACAAAGGCACATTTATTCATGTTATGAAGATTTAAGCTCAAATTTACAGATGCTTTTTTTTTTGTATTGACTCTGCCTCCTAGTGGAATCTACTGACCATATAATTGAAACGTCCCTGATTTAACACTCTCCCCTTATGCTCCCACTGACAGTTTCAAAATCATGCAATAACTCGAGCTAGATGAGGCTGGGTACAACAATGGTACATGAAGAAAATTGCTATACAGGTCTGGTGTAGCTGCAACACATAAATGAGCTGTGACATGTCATCCTCACCAATCAGCAGCCTCGCCAGAAGCTCTAACTCTGCTCTCCCAGCAGACTCTTGTCCTAACTTTAGCCTCTGAAATTGATTAGAAATGGAAAAAGAGGCCCTCTGGGTAATTGAGTTCCTTAGTCACGACCCATGTGTCACCAATATATGATCTATAGTAGCGGAGCTAATGCACAGGGACAAAAAATGAAACCCCTTCTGCGGGGTGGGGTGACTTTATTTAAAGGTCAAATACTGGAATGTCTAACTTTATGTACAAAGTGAATTGTGGGTTGTGAAAACAGTGTTTGCATATTGATTTATCCTGACCTGTAACTGTGATTGGGGATTTATTGCAGGGCATGACACTTGACTGTGTGGAAATCTCTCTGGCACGTGTGTTTGAGAGCGGCCAGGCTTACGTGGCCTTGTCTCGAGCTCGGAGCCTGGAGGGTCTGAGGGTCATGGACTTTGACCCCCGTGTGGTGAGAGTGGATCCAGATGTTCTCCTCTTCTACAAGAAACTGAGGAAGGAGCGGCTGCTCATGCAGGTGAGTGCAGAGTTGTTACTGACTGGTTGTTCCTATTTTATAACCTGTTCAACCTTTCATTTACTTTTTAGCTAAACTGTATATTGTTTCATGAAAGTGATCATTTTCATGTACCAAACTGCAGTACTCACTTTTAAGTGTGCACTAAATACAGCACAGATTCTGTATTACTGTAGAATCACCAATATAGCAAGTGTAAAGCACAATTGAGACATTTAATTTTATATGGCTCACATTAAATGAGAGTGCTGCAGAGTTTAAGAAACATTACCACAAACTACTCGATTGTAAAATAACTTCCTCTGTCAACAGGCCACCATGGACGATTTTTTGGGCAACAGCAGCAAAGAAAACTTTTGTTGAGCAGGAGAATCACTTTATCCGTATGTTATGCACTGTGTGCATGAGTCGGCATCTGTTACACCTCTATTGACAATATCATTTTCCCTAAATGACAACGTTCAGCATCTGCCTCATGGTTCCTCTTTGAACTGCTACTACTTGAAGTCACACTGCCACCATGTGGTTATTTCTGGTACTTTTGCTTTTTGAGTATTTTTATTAGACTGAATTTTATTTAATTATGATTGTTAGCATGTATTCAAATAAAGTTTTACTCAGTTTATGACTTTGTGCAAAGCATCCTTTTAGAGTTTTAGTTCATATGGAAATAATTGACTTACCGGTTTAGGTAATGGAAAATAAAATCTATCCCTGCCTTCAGTAGTCGATATAAACAGTTGCTTTGTGGGTTGTTTGGGAGGTGCATGCAGTACGTTATGGCTTCAGGACACTTATGTTGTAAGAGACTATGAATCAATGTCACCTATAGGCCATCTTTGCTTGACACCGGTGACAAGTTTGGTCCAAGTCCTTAACATGGCTGGGTAAATTATAATCACTTCATAGTAAAAACTCTATACACCCACCATACAGTTATACTCCTCATCCAGTACATACTTACTAGTTTCTCCAATAAATGTGAAACACTATACAACTAAATATAAGACAAGCACAGGATTAACTTTGGAATTACAGTAATTAACAGGCAATTCTGTGATGAGTGCAATATCAATTGTCTGTATCACCCTGTCACAGATTAACTACTATATACAGTCATTTCTTTATAAAGTCACTCCCATATATGGGGGAAAAACAGCAGCCCAACAAACTGAAGAAAGCCTTTATTTTCCAAACAATGAGTTTAACACGGAATCTGAGGAAAAACTGCATTTCCCATATGCTGTGACCACATTAGTACGAGTCTTCTTTGCACAACCTGGATGCAACCATCACGCATACAAGCACTGATTCATAATTCTCAGCCTGTCTACATGTACTACAAACAGAATGTGTGGCATGCATTAGTTCAGGTACCCAAGAAAATTCATTTACATTAATACAGAGCATGTCAGAACTGTTTTAACAGTTAAACTGATTCTACAGCGGGAACTGGGAAAGGCAGATTCATTTCAATTTGTGGAACAGCTTGTGTGATACCTATAAAGAGAGAGGAGAACAAAATTAGCATTGTCATTGATTGACATGAGGTGCAAATCAAGCTCTTAATCAAAAGAAATCATATTAAATCTGGTCTTTAACCAAAGTAAAAGTAAGTGCACACTGAGGTTTTCTCAGTTGCCATCCTCTCTTTGGGTGTTACTCAAGTCTCTTAAATATGGGTGGTCATTTCCCTCACTTGCATCTTTTCCTTGTGTCTTAGTCCTGCCCATGTAAGATGTGAGGAAAACATGAGGAGGGAGGACTCACGGAAACGTATTATTAATGACATGAGATTGCCTTTTGCCCTATGCTTCATCTGAAGCGTGCAATCACCAACTGAGTTCTGCCAAAGAGATGAGTTGATTCATAACAGACTTCTGCAAAGGACGATCTCATGTTTCCTTGCTCATGGCTCCTCCAGCAGCCTACTCCCTCATCAATATAAGAGACTTGGAACGTCTTTGGTCGACCAAAAAGACTTCCAGGTCAAGTGAAGATTGAGGAACGATCATATAAGAGACATAAGAAACTCCCCAAGGGTCTTTCACACAGACTTACACAGTGGTCCCGTGCATGCAGGAAGTCAAACAGTTCTTCTGTGCAATCCTCGAAAGTCTTGGACCTAGAGTTGACCCGGGTTTCACAGGTCTCCAGACGCTCCTTGAGGTGCACACAGTGTTCAGTCTTCTCACACTGGGCTCGTACTGTTTCTAGGGGGTCCTGAGAGGGATGCGACAATACCAACACCATTGTGACGATCATTAAACAAATCTCTTAAACACGATGGCTCCTCCCAGAAACTTTGCACCAATATGATTCACTGTATCCTCTCATGATTTCAAAGCCCAACTCTTCAAATGTTTCTCAGAGAATCATAGCTGTTTGTGAAGGTGATTTTAGAATCAAACAATTTCAATAACTAATGCAGAAAATACAAATTCTATACATTTTCATGCTGGTATAATTGTACCTTTACTTGACTGTGATTTTGTGTACAACATACAACTACAATAAGTAAAGCACAGCTTATAATGTACATCTGAGTATGTGCTGTGTAATACACACAATACAGTTTAGCTACACAATGCGTACTACAATATTACCTACAGCAGCAGTTTTACTATCAATTGTTTTAACCATTTCTGCTCTTAAAATGTATATTTTAAGGGCAGATATGGTTTTTACTAAGGCAGCCTTGTGTATAATGGCAGGGGGGGGGAAATAACAAGGAAGGTTAAATCTAAAAAAAAAAAAAAAAAAAAAACTTGCCACCAGTTCTTCCTCTTCCTCCTCCTCCTCCTCCTCTGCAGGTGCATCCTTTTCCTATTCAGTAACAATAAGTGTTTCAAACACATTCATAAGTTGAACTTAAAATGATAATACTGCTCAATTTACATTTACAATACAATGTACACAGTTATATTAAATTTGAGAGGCATCTGTTTGTAGCTATGTTAACTGGGGAACAACCTGTGCTAGATGCTACAAAGATTAACTAGCTAACGAATGCAGAAGGGGTAGCTTACTCTGGACCGACCATTATAAACATGAGCACAACTTAAACTCTGATACATCTTATGTTACAATTAAGCCATCCACGTTTGATACTTACGCTACAACTCTGCTAACGCATTAATATTCCCCCTGCTAAAAACTGTTTACTGTCTAATGTTAGGATACGTTTTGGGTTAAGTGAGGAATACATCGATAAAAGCACAGTCGGCCATGTCTGGTAGGTTAACTATCCAGCACACATATAAAAGCAATTAAAAAAACACACAGCGGTATTTTAATTACCTCCTCCTCAGGATCTCCGTGCGTGAGCATTTTCTTCTCGAAACCCATGATTACAGCTCTGAAAGTCACCAAAAAACCAAATAGGTGTCCTAGCTCACCAGCACCCTCGCTTCTCCTAGAGGACGTGAGGTCGGTCACACGAAGGAAACGACTACATGGATCACCGGATATAGTTTCTTATTGGTAAACAGGATTATTGAAGTTGCTATGGACCAATAATTCACCTTGAGTTTGTGTAAGGCCCGCCCATTAAAAAAAAAAACTCTTGTGTACGGAACGTTTGTTTTCTATTGGAGCGAAGACGGACTTAAAAACTGTCGCACTGCATGATGGCGCTGCTCATGGATACCAGACTTCTGATGAGAAAACTGAAAGATTTAAGGAGTTTAACGCCCAGACGAAACCGAGTGAAAGAAAAGTGGGTACGTTGTGAACATACTAAAAAATAAAGTCTATTAGACGTAGCGTGAGGTGTTTGTAGGTTTGGAGCTGTCAAGAATAGCATACAATAAATTAATGAAAGCAGCATTTATGAATCCAATGAGTTATGTTAATAAATAATCACATCAGCAGTTGTTTTGTTTTGCTAAATATTCTTTTGTAGAATTCTACTGAAAAGTATAAAATCGTGAACTGACCTGGTCTTCACATGTCTATAGGCTGCTCCCTCTTTTTTGCCCTTTTCATTACATTATCATCCTCACACAATCAAGCTAGCCTTTAAAATCTGTGTTTTGACCTCCCTGCCTTGTGGACAGGCTGCTACTCGTCCGAAGTACCCCCCTACCACCCTGGCCCTGCAACATTTTGATGCCACCTACAGCATCCAGCTGGGGCAGCTCTGGCCATCAGTCCGAGTTGCCTTGCTCTCTGAGAAAAAATACGGAGCCCTGCTCAACAATTTTTCCTATGATGATGTTCTGGCAGACCTCCAAGCACAGGGATCCAGAGACTTTATCAGCGACACTGACACGCAAGGTAGGTGTGTGTGTGTCCAGTGTTCACAGTATACCTGCCTGTGCTGGCTTATTAGTTTACTCTGGCAGTGAAAGCAGCATTTTTAAGCTTTGATACTGAGTCGGAAACTGAGTTGTCTTTTTTAAGAACAGCAAAAGATATATTTCCATTTGTCATTCAAAAGCTTTGAACATTCTTAATTGCTGGAAGTAATTTTATGTAAATGTTATATCATTTCAACTTCACATCTCAGTGATTGAATCTAATTGTAGCACAAATTCTTCTTCTTGCCCAGATGACTGCAACTTCTTTGTATCTTTTGCTCTGAGATAGACCCTGGTCTATAAAAGGCTACATTTTTATTTCATGTAGTTTTGTTGATATATAGTTTTACTTATTTTTATTATTTACTAGAGTTATGATTCTAAACCATGTTGTTTAAGTGTGAATTGTTTTAATTTTATGTAACTTAAACGTTCTTCACTGCAAACACCACTTGTCAGTCCGCTCTGAACGTCATTAAAAAGACAAATCTCTCTCCTCATATAATCCGTTTTGTCTTCACCTTCTCTGCAGCTCAGCCATGCTTGGAGCACAAATCTGCAGATGGTGTGGAGGAGGAATCCAGTGTTGATGCTGTAAAGAAATCTGACCTCAGTGGTCAGCAGCTCTCTCCCCTGCAGCTCAGTCTTAACATCAAGTGTGCAGTGTTTCCAAGAGGGGATATCACCAGGTTCAAATCTGCCAGGTGATCTTTTTTGTTACTTCTTAGACAAAATTCAAACTCATAAATGGTTTTTATATGTCTACACACAGCGTGTGTGTATCAAAATATTTATTTTAGCTGTATTTTTGTGTGTACATATTTAGTTTTAAAAGAGTGTAGTTAGCCCAAATGTTTTTTATAGGTACACACAGCGTGTGTGTTTCAAAATGTTTATTTTAGCTGTATTTTTGTTTTTGCATATTTAGTTTTAAAAGGGTGTAGTTAGCCCAAATGTTTTTTATAGGACCACGTAATTCTACAAATGAGCACTTTGACTCTTTCTTGTCCTCTTAAGACCAGACATGTTCGGGTTATTGAGTTATTACTTGATGGATGCAGCGTCTGTGCTGCCTTGTCTCGCACTGGATGTTCAAGAAGGTCACAGTGTGCTTGACCTCTGTGCTGCTCCAGGAGGCAAGACCCTGGCTTTACTTCAGACCCAGGCTATCAGTAAGTGGACTGCTGTTTTCACTCGGCCCAGGTCGAGATCTTTCTTGTCAGTTCTCTGTCTATGAGTGTTAGTACTGTTGCTCTGCCAGTCAGTTGGTGCTGACCATCTACCGTTTGTGTTTCTGCCAAAGGGTTTTTGTGTGCAAATGATGCCTCAGTGTCTCGGACATTGCGACTCAGAAGGGTCCTCCACAGCTATGTTCCTAAGGAGGTTTTGACCGCAGAGAAACTACGCATTACCTCCTTTGATGGCACCAAGTGGGGAGAAATTGAAAGGAACACTTTTGACAGAGTATGCCAAGTTTATTCTTTTTTTATTCATTTTCTACCGCTTAGTCCCTGAACGGGGTCACGGGGGGCGGGGGGGCAATCCCGGCCAGCAATTGGGCGAAGGCGGGGTACACCCTGGACTAGCAGGGCTAACACATAGACGAACAACCACAACCACACACACACACACTCCTACGGGCAATTTAGAGACACCAATCAACCTAAGCTGCATGTCTTTGGACTGTGGGAGGAAGCCGGAGTACCAGGAGAGAACCCACACAAGCACGGGGAGAACATGCAAACTCCACACAGAAAGGGTCCCAGGTGGGGCCCGAACCCGGAACCTTCTCATTGTGAGGCAACGGTGCTAACTGCGCCACAGTTAATCACATTGTCTTATCCACGTGCTACCACTTTGTCCACCTCCTCCTTTCCTTTTGTGTGCAGGTCCTTGTTGACGTCCCTTGCACTGCAGACAGACATTCTCTCATGGAGGACGATAACAATATATTTAGTAAGAGCAGGACTGGAGAGAGACGGGGGCTGCCACAGGTGCAGCTGGAGCTGCTGTTGTAAGTTTCAATGGAAATCTGGTGTTATTTACAGTATGTGCTTACACTTAGTCACAAGAATATACAGTTAAAATATTCCATTGAACAAAAATAAACAAACACTCTCTCTGTTCTGCAGGGCAGGTATCGAAGCAGCGTGTCCAGGTGGGGAAATCGTGTACTCAACCTGCACGCTCTCTCAAATCCAGAACCTGAGGGTGGTGGAACAGGCCATCTGCTTGGCTGGAGAGAACCACGGCATCCGCCTGGAGGTCAGTCAGACGCACACTGTCAGATTTAACAAAAAACTCAACATTAGAGACTTTGTGATAAAATCAAGATTAGTGGAAGATAAGCGATCTGACCTGCTGATTGTGAACACAGAAACCAAATTACTTGAAATAATTTGATCTTTTTTGTTTCCCTGTCCCCCCCCCCCCCCCTTGTTCTCACTGAATCTAACTCAGGTTGTCAATCTGCAGCCCCTCACACACATGTTTAAGAAAACCTTTCACTTCGCTCCGGACCTAGAACTGGGTGAGATGGTCATCCCACATTTAGCTGCTAACTTTGGGCCTATCTACATGTGCAAGCTAAAGAGGCTGACCTAGACTGGAAGTTTGCTTGTTACCATTTGGATTCTCTGCTGCCAGAATAATACTCACCCACGTTTGTAAACTCTACCTGATAATGAACTTGACTGCTGACATTTTCTAACATCAGAATAAATGAAGTTTCCAGTTGATAAACCTGGACTTTGGTACCATAGCTGTGGGCCCACTGGACAGCGCTGAACTGCAGGCTGTTATGGAAATTTCTGGACTCTTGGGAATGCCAGACCTCAGTTTTGGAATTATTGAAGGGAGATTCGAGACAGTTTGTTGGACACTTAAACCGGCTTTGCATGTGTTTTACTTGCAGTTTAATTTTTGCCCCCTAGGTGGCAAAAGTGGATAAAAACTAAAGGTATCCTGTATGTTCTGTGCCCACTAGAGGACGTTAAGTATGTGTCTGCAAAGGTTAGAGGAACTCCTGTATGAACGTCCTCCTGCACTGTCTCAGATGCATATTTCAGACTGGAGGGTCACATTACTGAAGCACAAATTTCCATCAGAATTACCTGTTCCCTTTAACTCTCCAATGAGAATGAGTTGTTCTGTGGTTATTCATCAGGTTTCATGGCTTTGCCTAATAATGCGATATGTGGCTACATTGAAGGAGGACATAATGAGCAGGCAGGTAATGACTTGTGTGACCATTTGGCTTCTCACATCTGAATCTGCACAACTTTCATTATTATAGCTGGATTGAGTCTGTTTTGCATCGACATCGCTCAGAGGTGAAACGTTTCCTCTTATCACAACATAATGTGAGCAGAGAGGTGCCTCTTTTTCCATCACACCGCCGATGACCCTTTATGTTGTCCTGGCCAAGCAATGTAGCGTGAAAAAGGTGTGTGTGTGTGTGTGTGTCTAACGAGTCCACCATCCTCAGCCCACAGTCATTAAGCTGCTCCAAGTGCAGGAGCCGACTCCCATCCCTGTGCAGGGATGGACGGCAGCCATGCGGCTCCCAGATGAACATTAAAGAGGCAGCAGAGGGCTAAAATGGGACGACTCGCCCTGTTTTGCCCCTCTGCTTTTTTATTCCACAGATGACTGCAGATAATTTTCTGTGCGATTGTGAGTGATTACTGTATTACTGCGTTAAAAGGGGGATGTATCAGGGAATGCAGAGGGAATTAATGACACATAAAAACTATTTTTGTATTGACTGCTTTCGTCTCCAGGGCCTTGAATGCCTATTCGTACATCTTGTGATTACCTAAACGTATTGTAAATATGTGTTTCCTATGGGCTCTTACATAAATTTACATGTTTTAACACTCAGGAGACGGCAGACTGTTAGAGATGTGTTACTCTCTATTCTGCCTGTCTGTAGACTCGACTGGCTGCCCTCTTTATTATTGAATTAGCCAATGAAGCGCTGTGCATTTGTGTCCCCTGTGTGTAAGCCTGTGTTAGAGAGACATATGTAGTGTATTAGAAAGATGAATATTATGGATTTAACTACACAACCATGCTTCTGTTGTGTTTTCAAATACAAGTTAAATGTTGCATTTTTGTTAGTAAAGATGCAAAACACTGTAATAGTCTTATGTTTTTACCTTGCACCACACAAGCTACTGAGTGAGTGAACTTGTACCCATTAGTAGTGAACGCCATGTGTTAAAACAGCAGAAGGGAAAAATGAACTATGTCTTATAAGAGCACAGCACTTGTTTAAATGGACCTGCCACTGCTGAAATTAATGATTCAGTTTGGTGTCTACAGCAATTCAATATGAACATTCAGGTGTCGTTATGGTTATGAATACACACGTGGAGGCAAGTTGTGTGTCTTAGCTG